CACCAACTCAATCTAAATTCAGTGATGACAATAAATAATATATAAATATTAAAAATGCATAGAAAAGACAGTATATACACTAATGACAATACAAAATATATGCAACAACAAATATTGGCAAAATCAACACAAGCAAAAATAATTTAAAAAAACATTAAACAATAAAAAATAAGCAATTGCTAACATAAATAGAAAGATTTCAATAATAGTAAATATAAGAAATAATATTATATCATAAAATTCTCAAAAATTAAAAAACAACACCTTACACATCACAAATATAAAAAATATATTATTGTAAATAAAAAAAAACCATAATTATATTAGAGTTAAGAAATATGGCTGACGATAATATAATAAATATATAAACAATAATTATACAAATTAACTCAACAAATAAAATGTTCAGATATAACTCTGATACAATTTAATATATTTCAGCACATAATTTTAGAAACTGATAGGATTGCATTATCATTACATAAAACAAAATAATTCAATCAGCAGCATATTACAAAATATATAGGTACGTACTTGGCAATGATCTAGCACTCTTTGGCACCATTGTTGTACTTTGGCAAGGAAATAACCTGCTCTATGGGACGACGGCTTTAATCGATTTTCAGCGCTCCAAGCAGATTACCAATTTCAAAATCGTAATTGCTTGATACTTGATAATGATCACGCTCCTTGCTCCGTCGTTGTACTTTGATAAGAATATAACCTGCAATATACAATAAAACAATGATATAGTGATACAATGATACGGTTTTGATCAACTTCATGTGCACAAAACGAACCGTCAACTTAGAAATCGCAATTACACACGATACGTAAAGAATCACGACAAATATCGGACTTTATACGAAAAATATCCGCGGAAATCTTTTATGCGCGAGATACTTTTACGACAATAATCGCGGGAAATGCGAAACGGTTTGAATGCGACACTACTGACGCAGCGGTATGTTCTGAAATTAATTATGATACTGGACACATACATCGAAACGTGATCGAAGCATTAACTAATAAATTTGCATAATGTAATTTAAAAAAATTTAATATCTTTCAGCACGTCTTTTTGAAATTGGCGGAATTACCAATCAATATTTCAAACAAAATCATTTAATTATCGCAATTTATTATACAATAAAGATATATACGTACTTGACAACAATCTTATACTCCTTGCACCGCCGTTGTACTTTGATGAGAAAATGATCTGCAACATACGACGGCTTTGATCGAATTCATGTGCACTAAAGGGACCGTCAGCTTCGAAATCGTGATTACATACAACACGCAAAGAATCATAACAAATAGCGGACTTTATACGAAAAATATCCGCGGAAATCTTTCATGCGCGAGATACTTTTACGACAATAATCGCGGGAAACGCGAAACGGGTTGAATGCGACACTACTGACGCCGCGGTATGTTCTGAAATTAATTATGGTACTAGATACATACATCGAAATGCGATCGAAGCATTTAACCAATAAATTTGTATAATGTAATTTTTTAAAATTTAATACCTTTCAGCACATCTTTCTGAAATTGGCGGAATTGCCAATCAATATTCTAAACAAAATCATTTAATTATCGCAATTTATTATACAATAAAGATATATACGTACTTGACAACAATCTCACACTCCTTGCACCACCGTTGTACTTTCATGACAAAATGACCTGCAACATATGATGACGGCTTTGATCGAATTCATGTGCACTAAAGGGACCATCAGCTTCGGAATCGTGATTACATACAACACGCAAAGAATCATAACAAATAGCGGACTTTATACGAAAAATATCCGCGGAAATCTTTCATGCGCGAAATACTTTTACGACAATAATCGCGAAAAACGCGAAACGGTTTGAATGCGACACTACTGACGCCACGGTATGTTCTGAAATTAATTGCGATACTAGCTACATACATCGAAACTCAATCGAAGTACTTAACCAATAAATTTGCAGAATGTAATTTTAAAAAATTTAATACTTTTCAGTATATCTTTCTGAAATGGGCGGAATTGTCAATCAATATTCTAAATAAAATCATTTAATCATTGCAATTTATTATACAATAAAGATATATATGTACCTGACAATAATCACACACCCTTGCATCGTTATTGAACTTTGACGAGAAAATGACCTGCAGCACATAACAGCTTTGATTGAATTCATGTGCACGAAACAGACTGTCTGGTTTAAGTCCGCGATTACATCCGGCACGTAAAGAATCACGACAAACACCAGACTGCTTACGAAAAACATTCACGGAAGTTTTCGTGCGCGATATTCTTTTACGACAGAATTGCGGGAAACTCAGAGTGGTTTGAATGTGGCTTACTTGCTTATTGGCACATTTGAACGAGATTGAACGTTATTCGTAATTTATCAAAAAGCAATATTATAATTATAAAAACAAAAATAAAGTTTAATTTTTTATTTAATATATGTTAAAATAATTAAAATGGATATTTAATTATAATTCTTTATTTTATATGATTATTGAATTAGTTAATTAGTCTTATGTATTATTCATATTCTTATGCATATGTTATACTTATTCATGTTGTATGGATATGCTCTTAGTTTTGGGTGTAAAAAGTGTAATGTAGTGCATATAAAAAGATCAAACTTGATGTCTTCTGCATCATGCGCAGTGTGCAGCAACAGTAATGTCAAGTTGTATCAAACTTGGTTAAGTTTGATACAAGTTTCATGGGAAAGTAAGACTTTATTTTCAACAATGATAACTTCACGAGGACTCGGTTTATTAAAAATTGCCTATAGAAGTAGTCAAAACAAAGTTGCTGCAACAAATTTGAGGCCTGTTAGATTAAGTCATGAGTAAGTAAAGTTATTATGTAACTCATTGTTATAGGTTATGTTGTGTAGTGTTTTATTATTCTTTAAAACATATGTTAAATAAGAACAAATAAGTGCATCTTATATTATTATATGCAAAATATATTTTATATTGTTATATGTTTATGCTATTTTGCTCGCATGAAAAAATTTATGAAAACTTATATTGTTTAATCATTTGTAATGGTATGTACCTGTTGTGTGTGAATAATTTTTACACATGTTAACATAATTTATATAAAAATAGCTTTTTGCTATATAATAGATCTTATCTTTTAATATTTGCTGTAATCTATTAATGTGTTTTATTATTAGCCATTATCATGGATCTTATCGTGAAGTTCCACCAGAAGAAAAAAAATGGGTAATTGGGGCTGAAATTTTTGGTGGCATATTGTGGTGGTGGGTGTTATGGCATTTCTGGCATGACTTTGGCCATATTGTTGTAAGTATCAAATAATTTTACATATAAGATTTGTTTCTGCATAATTTTCTGTTATTATACAACTGTTTTGTTATATTTTTTATATATAGGGAGAATTTCCATATCCAGACCCATCCAAGTGGACAGATGAAGAATTAGGCATACTACCAGATGATGCTGATGAGTGACTCTAATAAGTGACTCGCATGTTATAGTTAATTGTACAAAAGTGTTACATGAAGGTAAAATATATCTATCCTTATATATATCAAAATAAGAGTTTACAAAAAAAAATTTCGATATTCACAATAGAATAAATGTATAATACTTGTGGAAACTTAAGACATGATTTTTTTTATTTCCTTCTTTTTAAAGAAAAAAATAAAGCAAGAGAAACAGATACAGAAAAAGAGAATCTTACATATTATGTTACATTTATTTAAATTTCTCAACATATATTATGTATATTATTTATATATGGCATATATTGTGTTTTTAATTTTCTCAGGTTAATATTATTCCAATAAATTATTGCATATATCATTTTATTACAAGTCAGTTACAAAAGTTTCATGTACAAAACATTTGTAAGCATAGAAATTCAGATCAAATATAATCTTGAGGTTTCATGTATAATCTTGAGATATAACAAATATTAATTTGATTTTGTGACATTGATAGAAACCGTTTTGATCTCAAGATATTCGTTCAAACCTTCTTCTCCTCTGAAAAAAATAATGGACGTAATATAATACACTGTTAAAACATCAATACAGCTTAATTAGTTATAACTTACAGTTCGCGTCCTATGCCAGATTGTTTAAATCCACCAAATGGTGTTTGGGGTGTGACAGCATCATAACAATTTACCCTGGAAATTATTAACATAATATAATTACATATGACCATATGATAAATTATTATTATGTAGGCTTCATGAAGTTATCTATACTTACCATACACTGCCCGCCTCTACAGCTTGGGCAAATTCCAAAGCTTTATTAATGTTTTTAGTAATTACACCAGAAGCAAGACCGTAATTAGTGCGATTAGCACGCTCAATTACTTCATCCATAGTATCAAATTTCAAAATTGCTTGCACCGGACCAAAAATTTCTTCTTTGGCAATTTTCATTTCGTCGGTTACGTTAGAAAAAACTGTAGGCTGTACGAAGTATCCAGTATCACCATGGCGAATTCCACCAGCTTGCACAACAGCACCCTGCTGTTTGCCCGAATTGATTAAGCCAATAACTTTGTCTAACATCTCTTGGTCAATCTGTGGGCCTTGGTCCGTTTTGGAATCGAATGGATCTCCCACTTTTCTATTAAGCGCCAGTTGTTTAGCCTGCTTTACAAATTCATCATATATCTTAGAGTGTACAAATGTACGCGATCCCGCGCAACAATTTTGTCCATGATTTCCAAATATCGCATTGTGCGCGATTCCTGCAGCTTCCTTCACTATAAATATTAATAACACAAATAAATTAAGATATAATTGATCAAATAATGATACGATTAAATAAAGGTGCAAAATCACTCTTACAGCAACGTACCATCAGCATCATCAAAAATAACGAGAGGGCTTTTGCCACCTAATTCGAGACTGACACGCTTAAGATTGCTCTTAGCAGAAGCTGCCATTACGGCATGTCCGACCTACAAGAAATATAATTTATTTATATTGATTATGTATGATTGTATTTAATAAGTATTTATTTCAATGAATATACCTCGGTGGATCCAGTAAAAGCAACTTTATTAATTTCTGGATGCTCAGCAATAGCTGCGCCAGCAGTTGGACCATAGCCTGGAATAATATTTACGACACCTGCTGGAAATCCTGCCTCCTTAGCAAGAGCGGCTGCATAAAGTGCGGACAAAGGAGTTTGCTCTGCTGGCTTTAATACCAAAGTGCATCCAGTAGCCAAAGCAGGACCCCATTTCCAAACTAACATCAAGAAAGGATAATTCCAAGGAATGATTTGTCCCACAACGCCAACTGGTTCTTTTCGCGTGAATGTAACACTGGTATCGCCTATTTAAAACATAAATAAATTTGCTTATCGTCATTTAATTTATAACTCATATTTTATCTATCAAATAAATAAACTAAAAAATAATAATTAATGTGTAAAACGTAATAAAACAATACTATCTACTCTCACGTATAATTTAATGATAATTTATAATGTCAATAATTTATATGAAAAGATAATAAAAGTACAAACAAAATGATAAAAATTATATTATCTTTTATAGTCACAAAAATACACATACAGAGATAACTCATGACGTATATAATCTATGTGAAAAGATGATAAAGGTATAAATAAAATGATAAAAATGACATTATCTTTTCTAATCACAAATATGCACATACAGAGATAATTCTCCATGAATAACAAGAGTTTGAAAAACAAATGAAAATGAAAAACAATTACCTGTTGGAATAGTGCTCCCCTGTATTTTATCACACCAGCCCGCGTAATAACGGAGAGTAGCGACAGATGCTTGTACATCTTCAACAGCACTTGCATAAGTTTTTCCATTATCAAGAGTTTCGAGAGTTGCAATATACTCTAAATCACGCGTAACAAGATCTGCAAACTGTACTTCTATTTAACATACAAATATTTACATTAACCAAGACAAACTCAGTTGAACAATTTTACCTTATGCATCAGTTGCCCACGGATGTACGGATTCATTTTACGCCATTTCGAATTTCTATTAAAGGCACGTTTAGCAGCCTCCACTGCTTTGTCTACATCGGCCTAAAAAGAAAAAAAATTTACTCTTAAACTATAGAAAGTAATTTCTTATTTAATTTTTTCTCCCATTGTTTTGTAAGACCACATAAATCATTAAATAAAACTACATTTAATATCAATTCGGTATGTACAAGCATGTTGTGTAAATGCAAATTTATGAATATTTTATTAACCATTAGAAAAGGAAATACGATTTTAGTAATAATATAACCAATATGCACAATTATATAAGCGCAAACGGTTATCATCCTTGTTCTGTATGTATAAATTACGTTTTATAATTTTAAACACACATATTAATTCATAGCAGAAATTCAAGAGATTTTAAAAACTGATTATGAATTATATACATTGAATTATATACATAAAATATATAGATTGAAATAAATTGACCTTGTTAAAGTGTTGAAAACAATTTTATTTTAATTTCGACACAAGTGATTTACTTCTATTTACTTTCATTTATCATATGAAGTGTGGAATCTTTTCATTCTGTCTTTATACATATGATTCACATGTTTCATCTTTTATAGCTGTTAAATGAAGTAAAGAAATTCCGAGATAAAAGAATATTATATGAATATCAGTGTATCATTATATCATTATATCAACATAAAAAATAAAAATCAAAGAAAAATACATATAGCTCTAATATGTTAACACATCTGTGAACATACTGTAGATATTAAATAATGTAATTTTTATAGATTATAGATTATTAGAAAATATCTTTGATTATCTATTTTATGGTACTTGAAATCAAGCAAGTCACTTTTGTCATTAAAAAGCTGAAAATAGTTTCTTGAGCAATATTAATTTTTTAATCTATATCGATTAAACATTTTTTCACTGAATGTTTCTAAATTTTACCTTGTCTCCTTCAGCGATCTCAGCGATGACTTTACCATTGGAAGGATTTACTGTGGAAAATTTACGGCCGCTTACAGCATCCACAAATTCATTGTCAATGAAAAGCTATAAACAGTATATAATGTGAATAACGAGGTGAATATAACTCGCAGAAAAATTAAAAAATTACAATAAGATGAAATATTGTCAAATTCTATTGTTCCCTTGCATTTTAATTTTAATTTTACTAGTATTTTATATATTCAATTAAAAGATAATATCGTTATGTATTTTCTTTAAAGTAATATCCTTGTATTTTATTTACCTGAGTGTACTTGATTTGCACTTGCTTTGCCATCTTCTCAGCAACGTCCGCACTCGGCAACGGTCAACAAATAAATGCCTCAGAATTGAGCAGCGTTATATCCAACCGTCGTCCCTACTATCAAGGTTTATTAAGAGATTATTTCTGACATATGATAAGCGCCCCTCTATGTATCTTTCTCAGATATATAATTCAGATATGTAACTAACTGTTTGGACAAAATTACATCATTATATTAAAATCCAAAATGTTAATTTAACATAGTAAATATTCACAAAGTTGAGATATTGCACAAACAAGTGCACAAACAACATTCAGTAAATTTTGCTTTGCAAATGTATTTAAATAGAACGAACTATTTATAATTTTCGTTATTTTTATTTAAAAAAAAAAATTTTTTTTTCTATTACCTTACGTTTTATTTATATTTTTCTTGTAACTAGTTGCATATATGTCAATTATACTTCTCAAATTCCAGGAAAGTAGATGCTTCTTCGTTGTCTCACAATTTTTCTCAGTCCTGCAATATAATATTCATTTATTAATTAAATTGTGAGAAATTGATCTATAATTAGAATGATACACAGTTTGCATACAACAAATAATTATTCTATACAGAGAGTTTCTATGTACAGAGAATTTCTATGACACTATACTCAAGTTCTCCCTACTATTCCTAAAAGATTCATGAATCTATTTTGGTATAATAGAGCTAGTAATCGTAGTAGTTAGCTCTGCCTTCTCTTAAATTATCTGCTATTTAATCACATCACAATTGCTAATTACCGAAAATTACTAAATTATATCTTTCAGAATTATGAACTCTCAGGTCTTTATCACACACTTGAAGTTATCAAGAAAATAGATATTAAGTAACAAGATTACAAATCAATCCAACTCGGTGCAATCTCTGTGTTGGTAAAAAGATGTTTGGGATGGGGAATCTTCGCGCATGCCCCAGGTTTGATAGGATAACGTTAGGTCATCAATATTTTCGTATACAAGTCGTCTAAAAGAATTTACGTGAATAGCAACATTATCTTTTAATAAACATTTAATCGATACGTAATTTTATATCATTTTGTATTAATAACATATTACGTAGTCATGGAAATTTTTTAACTTTACTGCCTGAGAACTTTATATCAAGAATATTTTGTATCCAACAAAATAAAAGCTATTTTATTTGCGATAACAAAATTTTGCTTGATAAAATTTTGCTATGATAAGAATTTTTTAAATACATTATTTGTCAATAATTAGCTTAATCAACATGATGTTTGTGCAATTATATATAAAAGTTATTTAGTAATTTCCAAAATGTACTTCAAATATTTCTAAAAATACTTCATATATCCCTCCCTCCTTTCTTAATAATTTATTAATATTAATTACTTTTTATGCTTGAAAATTTGTCTCAACTGTTGTAGATAGTCTATTATTAACGAAATTGTCGATAGAAGTGATATATTCTTTTGCAAAGCAAAGTTATGTTATTATGAATTAAAATTAGTCAATTATTGTACTTTTTAATATCTATTCCAAGGTATTTACGTTTATTTGCAAATGCGAAGTGCATTATCGCTTGATTAACCGCGACAGATATATAAATATCTCGAAGTTAGTCACTTTGCGTGTCTTTTTGAAAAAATCATAACCTTGACAGAAAGGAATAGAATAGGTTGAAATTTGAAAATATCACCCCAAGTATCCCATTATACAAGGAAATGAAACGATTCATTCTTCCCGTGTATTAAATCAATACACCAGGTTTCCGTAGCATATCTACGGGCAACTGCTTAAATCACGGAAATATATATTTTACTGTTCACGAACGTGCAAGTCAAATATACCTTATATATTCAAGTGTACTTTTAAAATTCAAGTTGTAGCAAACTAATATACGTTCGTATTGTAATGTGTGTTTAACTGTATTTAATTTTGTGATTCTATTTGATAAAATGTCTCTTTGTGAACATGATTGTACAGTTGAAACCACACAGAATGATTTACAACAAGCTGCGGTAAGTTGTTTTTAGATTATTTTACCAACGCTATGTCCAATTAATGTATAAAGTTCAAATCTTAAAAAAACTATACTGCACTATAGAACTAATAGAAAACAATCTAAATCAAGTACTATTTATCTGTACAAATTTTTTACTCTCACACTTTATATCATTCTATGCAATCGATTTTTATCCTCCACAAATTTTGAAGTAGGACACGCAATTATGCCCTGCGATGGAACACAGAAATGATTGCGGAGATAATGTCGAAAAACCTCCACCCTACTTTCCTCAGCTCGAAGATGAATATCCGCCAAAGCCTGAAGACTCAATGGAATCGCCTGGTCCTTGGGCAACGGGCAGAGTAACCCGTTCTTTAAAAAGTGGGATTACAGGTTTGAGACCTGTTGCAGATCGATATTCCATCACTCGCTATGGACCGAGTGAATGGCGAGCGCATAATTTGAGTATCTTTCAGCACTCAAATGAGAAAATCTGTGATGCTCAGTACGTAATTCGACACGAATGCTGTGTGATATATAAATCGCAATTATTTGGAGAATTATATTTTTTCAAATAACTTGTAATCTGTAATTTTTAAAAAGCACAAATTTCACACTGTTTATAGCCAAAACCAAAAGTATTAAAAGTTAAATATTTATTATCTGAGTGTACTTTCTCTAGAATCACAGCCACTAACGCAAAACAATGCGTGAGCCAAATGTATGCAGAAGCCGATAAATCGCAATTAGAGACTACGGAACATTTAAAGACACGGGCCAAAGTAGTATATCGTTGGAAGGCAGAATTAGAATATGCGATTACTATCATCGTGGAAGAGATAAGATTGTTGGAGGCTGAACATCGTCGTGTAGAGCGATCTTTGTCGATATTAACCATACCTACATCTATTGCAAGTGAATTTCTCCAATTACGTTCTTCTCGTTTGGAATCAGATCTTGTTCGTGATGATGTCGAAGAGCAACTTACGAAGGTTTATTTCCGATTAATTTATCAATACAATATTGTTAATTATCTCTTTACGTCTCAGTTCGAGTTACAATTTCAGGAAATAGCTCTTTGTTCTAAAGTACGAGATTTGCTAAATAAAACTCATCAGCAAATTGAGATACAAATGGTCGAATTAAAAACTGTCAAAGCGCGGATGGAAAGTGATTGGTCTGATAAAATTCATACTTACAATATAGATTCCGTATGTGTGAATTTATCAAATGATTCTCCACTTCTGTTATGGAAAGCTGGAGCTACGAGATTTCCGGCCGAGTGAGTTTGCTGCATCATTTTATATATGCTGAGCTAATAAAAGAACTCTGTAAAAGGAAAACTTTTAATCAACATAAGAAGTAGCGATAATAATAAGCAGTAATAACATATGGATAAATCAGTGTAACTGTTGATTTTTGCTAGGAATATGATTTCGCTTTTAGTTTCAAGCTTATGATGTAAACAGTTTATATAATCTACATTTTTTTTCTTTTTCCCTTTTTTGCATTAGTCAATCAACTCCTACGAGTTATGAGAACTTTACGCAAGAAACACTAGCTGCCGCCGAGACTGCTAGACAAAAATCAATCAACCTTAGATCAACTTTGAACAGAATATATGTTAATTCCATTAAAGATTTACGTAATCAAGCAACACATGTTGACATTGCACTCGCAGAAAACGTGAAACTTACACAAGATTGTCTTCGGCAATTAGAAACGGAATTACTTCGTGTAAGATAAGAATATAATAAAACATGCAAAACATACATAACAATGGAAAAATAAAAAAAACTAAAAAATATTTACTTTTAGTGCTTGGATGAATTGGCAAGCACAGAAAAACTGATTCAGGAATTACGAGTTTCCACAAAAGGGTTGAATAATGCCATGAAATTAGCACAAACAAGATTGGATAATAGAATGAATCGATGCAATGTTGAAAGTTGTCGAGATACACCTCAATTTGCGTAAGTCACTAAAAAAGAAATTACTTATCAAATATTAATGTATTATTAGCAAATATAAGCAACAAATAAATAAAAAAACTTATTTTTAGCCTTATTGAAGAAGTAAAATCTCTTGAAGAACGCACCTCTACTATATTGGCAGAATTAAAACATGCTGAGGAATCTCAAGCAGAATTAGTCAAGGCAAGAGGCAATCTTGAACATGAAATAATGGTAAAACGAAAGACTTTGTATATAGACAAAGACCGAGGTCAACTACTGCGTTCATTCTTTCCTTCTGCCACAACCTTATCTGGATTTTAATAAATTAAATACACGTACAATTTCTCTATAATTATTCAAAGTTGAATATATTAATTTTTTTTTTATTTATCTACTTTATAAGTATATCTCAAAACAATACATACCATATAAATTGTATGGTGATAACATCTTTATGCATACAGTTTGTACAGGATCATCCAATATATTTCTTCCTTTAAACAAGACACCAATGTTTCAAGATTATTCATCTTCAAATCATAATTCTTTTCACAATCTTGCAATTTTCTTGCACTGTGAATTAATACAAGATATGACATTGATATAATTATCTATAGTTTTTTGCGGTGAATAAACATCACTGGTACAGTCAGCAGTCATATTTTGGATTGTTTATATCTGTTTTGTAGTAATTTTCTCAAGATATTCCCTGCACAAATAACAAAATTAAGCCATAACATATATGATATATAATTATAAATGATATGTAATATCAAGTTGTAATTATGTTGTTTTTGATTTTACTAGTTTATTCACTCCACTAGATGTAGTCATGTCAAAAATACAGTGTTACTTCTTTATTAGTACTTAAGTCAACAATATTTGTTTCTAAAGCTATATTTTTGTCAAATTTTCATTAATAATGTTTGTAATCTTTGTGAAGTCTTAGAATATGCCTTCTACATATATAACAATAATATCAAAAATTACATGTAACATATACTGTGATTATTCATTATGTTATATATTGTACTTGTCAACATCCACTATTCAACTTCGTTTACCTCTAATATGTAAAATTCTGATATTTTCTTCAAGAACACTTTTTTAGGATACTGAAGATTTTTTTAAGTAAACCCTTGACTATTTGTTTCGTAGACTGTGAAAATAAGTCACTATCTCAGTGATACCAGATTTGAGACGCAAACAGCAGGTAGCATGAGTGGAGGGAATACTGCACTATGCACAAGTCACGTACATGTAAAAAATTTTATCCAGCCAAATGGTTTGAGTCTTAGCTAAAAAATGGTTTGAGTCTTGGCTAAAAATGGTTTGAATCTTGGTTAAAAATGGTTTGAATCTTGGTTAAAAATGCTCTGTGATCAGCTGATATATACATAAGTGTATATAATAATAATATATGTATATCGTTATGCGTTGCTAATGGTGCTTTGTTGGTAAACAATTTCGAACGGATAACTATAACATCAATAGTATGGTGATTGACAAGAGAGATTTGACAAGAGTTAATAAGTAAAATCAATTATAAATGGCAGAAGCAAAGCGAATATCTACAAAACATAACCCGGTGCAAGAAACAGCGGATATAGCGCAGGAGGAGGAAAGAAAGGATGTAAATTTGGAAGTTCTCGAAGATGTTGAGGAAGCAAGTCAGCAACCAGTGTATCAAATTCGGCCACATCTATATGAAAAGTAAGTCGATTTATCTAACATTTGTGTAAGTTTTGCAAGTATTGAGAAAACTAGTTAAATAATTATAAGATAAAACAATTCATTTTTATGTTAATATAAAACTGATTGATGTAGCTGATAGTTTTTTACAATGCAATTTGATAATATTAAAATTAAAATATTTTTAACACAGGTTTAAACCTCTAAGCGCAAAAGAGATAATACATGATGTATTGTTTGATCAACTTGCCACAAAGTCATACGATGCTCAGGCAGCTGCTCAGTGGACCAAAGATATAGCAGATATTATTGAAAGAAGAATAAAAGGTAATGCTTATATTTCTAGACATATTCACATAATTTAATTTCATATTAATTATTATTGTAAAGTGCTATAGTGCGTAATTATATAATATTCATATTTTGATATTTACAGAATTACAGTTTAAAAGATATAAATATATTGTCAATGTGGTTTTGGGCCAACAGCATGGTGCTGGTGTAAAAGTAGGTACAAGATGCATTTGGGATGCAGAAGCTGATACATATGCTTACGATAGTTTTATCAATGTAAGAAAGAGAAATTTTATAACTGTTTTTCATATAATCTTTGGATATTTCATTTCTATTTATTTTTTCTGAGCTAATTGCATGTTGTTTTCAGGATACTATATTCTGCGTGGCCATAGTGTATGCAATTTATTTTTATTAAGACTTTTCATGGAAAAAATATGGATAAAGCGCATGAAAGAAAAAATATTCTTTAGAAACATCAGCAAATTTATTAAAGTGCAACCTCGTATTATCATATATTAACACATATGCACACATATTATATATGTTACAACATGACATAATTTTTACAAGTCTTGAAAAGGATGAAACACCAGCTTGTTTGATGATAGTTAATATAACCATTTATTACAATTAAACAGAATAGAGTTATTTGTATCCACATACAATGCAATGTGCATGATTGTGTTTGCAGTGATATTTTTCCACTTACATATTTCTTTATATACTAAAATTATTATAGCACCATAATTCACGGTAATATAGTATAATTAAGAAACATATCCTATTTGTTACAATATTTTATGTCATGATTTGCGCTTTTATATATTTTTAACAAGTCACTTTCTAAAGAGGTATTTAATTACAAGATGATTTGTATATATGTGTAAATTCAGAATACCTAAAAAAATAACATTAATTATTTATTTATTAATTATAACAGATTTACTATTTTGCAAAATATAAACATTAATTTTATTATTTGATTTAAGTAATCAATTGTACACCAATGTACAATTCACATTTGCAGAACAGCAGGCGATATAAATAAAAGTACAAAAGTATATTTATGAACAAGAATTCTAATTTATTAAGATATTTTATTATATGGAGACTATTAATTAATTTTATTATTTAGTTTGTTTATAAATGTGCAATAATAAACTTGAGAAATTTACAGAAACATTACATATGATATTTCGTATTAAGGATTTAGTTTTAATGTATGTCATATTGCAGCATATTTTAAAAAATCTTAATTTGTCTGAAAGACGATACTTATAACAATAAAGATAAAATAAATAGCTCAGAGAAATAAGTATTTTTGTTCATCTATAAATACATTAACGAAGCATATTAACAATGTTCTCTTTTATAACATATATGACAGTATGATTTATTTTGATTACTCATTTAATGTTATATAAATGATCATTCGTGTGTTAAATGTTAACACACATATATATATATAGATTTCTTTTAGCTGCACTTCTGGCATTTCAAACGATATATATGTGTATGTTCAAATCTTGAAGAGAAAAGAATACGAAGTGTATAGCATGACCCAACATCAATTGCATATTTTTGCATTTATACCTTAATTTGATCTCTCAAAGTTCCTCAGGCTATGTTTCTTTTTGATTGTATCGTGACATTAAATCGCGTTATGTGCTTGATTATATAATATATTAATGCAAGAATAAGTTACATAATGACACATGGCAATGCGCAGCATAACGGCAGACAAACTGGAACAACAGCACCACCTTTGCTGGTTTTGGTTTTGCTTTTGCTAGAAGCTTCGTACTCGTATTTTCCGCTAGCCTTTTGCCATCCTCCCTGAAAAATTTATAATTAATTCAGTCGAGAAAACTGTTTCAGAGATAAACGGGTGTTTCGTCTTGAATTAGAGTTCTATATATTTAAATTTCATTGAAAAATGACTTACACTAGATTGTGACGCGGCTGCGCTAGCTTCCTCCTTTCTGGTGAATTCCGCCGAGCCAGGAGGATAATAGACCGGTGGTCCAGCCACATTCTTGCTTTTGACTTTCGGTGGCGTATGCGGAAGAAAATCAACTTCCTTCTTCTTGGCTGGCGCTTCTTTTTTATACCGGCGTTCTTGCTTGTCTATATCTTCTAATACTTCTCGCTGAACAAATGAAACGATATGTATATAGAATCCTTATCGCACCAATAATGCATATATTATTACTTTTACCTCAGAGTCAGAGAACGAAGCCATGAGATCCTCCAGTTTTGTCGGTGGTCCTTCGCCATTGGTGGTTGGCTTCGCCGAATACACTTGAACACTAGTTGGAAATGGTCTCGGCAGGAGAACCTCATGATCGTCTGCGTTTTTGTTCGGCGGTACTGTTGTCGTAGTATTCGAGAACTTGTAGATCGTTGTATTAGATTGCGGCGGTGTACCCTGCTGCGAGTAATAGTGCGTCCTGATCGGGGGGTCCGGTTTATCAGGCGGATAACGTCCGCTGGACGGCGATCTACCAGGTCTGTATTCCTCGATCCGATTAACGGTCCTGGTGTGCTCAACGGTGGGTGCTTGATTTTGGTATATGACAGTGCTTCCAGAATAATCCGGACGATCGCTCGGACCGTGGCCATTAGGATAATTACCGTCGGCCTGGTAATACTTCTCGGTCACGGTAGTTTTTGTTTCCAGATTTGTCGGCGGTGGACCAGTGCGATAAGACTGCGTCGGTGTACCGCCTCCAAGATAATCTTCGCGATAGAATTTTGCCTCCTTGTGAAAGGTTGTGGTCTTCTCGGTGACATCGGTTGACGGGCTGCTGTATCTTGGTGTACCTCCCGGTGCATTCTCTGTCACCTGGTAGGTGACTGTTTTGTCTGTAGTGGAGGTGCCGCTGGTTCTTGGCAAGGTATACGTGATCGTATGATCGCCGGGCAGCACAACGTTCCCTGGCACATTGCCACCTGGTAGATACGTCCCCGGCGCTCCCGGTAGCTCGTAGGTGTACGTCTTGATCGTGGTGGTTACCTTTGTGTTCGGACCGGGCGCCAGATTGATCGGTATCGCTGGAGTTGGCGACTGGACCGGTACGTACTCGATGGTTTTGTACTCTTGAGGAGCGTTCGTACCTTGAAAAACGGAAGATCATCGATGTTTATTCTGAATGATAAGATTAGAAATATAATTGAAATTTTGTATAATTTTGTAAATTACATACTAGTTTCGTGAATGTATTTGACATCCCTTTGAGTCCCTGGCAAAGGGGAAGTTTGTTTCGAGCGAGACGTGGAGCTGTCGCTGTAGACCTAAATACATATGATTGTATTATTAATGTTAATAATACAGTTTTAATCAATATCAATAACAAAATTACTCACCAGTTCTCTGTTAACCGCTGATTTTTTAATAATCGGTTCTGATATTGGGCTTTGAAACGAATAGGTCATTGGATTTTTAGTCTCTTCGTAAGATCTTTCATGGATGTCCTCACTGCAAAGTATGAATTTTTTTATGTTTATATATTTCATAATTTTTGCATTTATAAAAATAATTACTAATAATTTAACATTGATAAAAACTAGAATATTGTACATGCTGCTTTCCAGTGTCTAAAATTGAATAAAATATACATTTTAACATTCTAAGCCATTTTACAATTTTACATTAATAGATTTTTATCAATTATTTTTATATATTTATAACATAATTAATATAAAAATGATTTATTCGTAATAAAAAGAATAATATCTAATTATTCTATAAAAAATTGTATTATATATAATTATTCTATAAAAATTAAATTAATAAACTGTCTTCGAATGCATGAATTAAAAACGATGACAAAGTATGAATTTCTATTTTAGTGAGAAATAGAACGAGTTGTCTGGCATTCATTCAGAAAACCGGTGATATTTTGAGACTTATGATACAGAACTATGTACTAACATCAAGGGCGCGCCAGTGAGAGGCTGTTTGCTTTCTGATATGGTCCACGAATCTGAAACAATAAATCATAGTATGCTATCATGGCGATTATCAAAAGCGTAATAATACTCGGAAGAACAACGTAATAAAGTTCATTTTAAATAACTATCAATTTCAATTCATGCTGAAGAAAATAAAGCGCTATGTGACGGTGATTTATATTATTGATTTCGATCTCACGAGATTCATAAAATCATAATGCCAACTATTTTAACAATGATTTTTATTGGCTGGTCCGCGCCAGCAATTGTCCGCACAACTGTGGCCTACGAATACCCTCAATTGCTAAACCGTTGACCAACGGTCCTTGCTCTTCCAGCAGTCGTAGCTTGCGTCTGTCTTTTACTATCTCTACTTCCTCCGCGATCCTTCTCTCTTACCGTCCCTTCTTTCTTTTGGGAGAGCAACGGAGATACGAGGAAATCGGGTCAGTCTTCTGCTATAAACGGTCCTAATATGGCTACACTTGTGTGTTACGCGTGACCGCAAAGAACATGAGCTACGACCGTACGCTGTCGTCCCTGCCAAATACAGAGACACACAGGGAAAGCTTCCTCGTCTTCAATGTGCTTCAATGTGCTTACAGTGAAGATGAATAAAAAATTATAAAAAATTATTCCAAAGTATATACGTTTGAAAATTTTTAATAAGTTTTATGAAAATTAAAGAGGATTTTTTTTTATCGAACTTTACCTTCTGTTCATTCTCTTTCAAGAACGTGCGATATTCATGTTCTCCATGCGATCTTGCCAATAATTTTCGCGCGATAAAACTAGAATCGCGCTGAAGATGCATCGCCCTTAGCGCAAAATAGCGTGAAAATCTGATCTGCTCTTCTCTCTTTCTCTCTCTCTCTCTCTCTCTCTCTCTCTCTCTCTCTCTCTCTCTCTCTCTCTCTCTCTCTCTCTCTCTCTCTCTCTCTCTCTCTCTCTCTGTCTTGATTTTTTTTCATTATCAATTAACCGTAAACCAGCAAGGCCGTCACACGCCTTAAAAGGTGCGACATGAGTAACCGGCTCTCTTACCTTCCATGATCGCTTCACGTCCGTGCTATTCGCCGCGACCCCGCAGCGCGACCGAGGTGTTACCTGTCTCGGTAATTCAAGGAATCCGATCTTTGATACAACGATAATACGTTACTCTACGGGACCGCATAGCGTAGTACATAAACAGCAATACTACATATACTATAGCATAGCTATTCATGAATAATTTAATTTCTAATTTACAAAACTAAATTTTTAATTTATAATTTAATTTTAATATATAAATTTAATTAAATATTAATTACTATATAGTATTAATTTAATTTAATATATAAATTTATATAATTTATATATATGTTATCTAAAATTTATAATATAATGCAAGTATTAATGATTTTCTCACCTGGTTTTCCGTCCAAGTCCTTGTTGTACTGATAAGACACTTGCTTGTACGCTATCGTTTTACTTTGACCGGGTTGGACCTGCAAATGCAAAAAGAAAATATATATCTCGAGGCAGAAGCTCACATCATATACATAGGCATTCAGGTCATCCGTTTTTGTACGCGGCATCGATCCAATCGTAACAAATTAGTGCGAGCAACGCGTGGGCAGTGTCAGCACCGGACTCTCCTTATAAGACTCTGATTACGACTGTCCCACGTGTGAAGCATGGGCGGATCCGTAACAACATGTGAATTCCGTAGAACGACTCACGGCCGCTGATTGTTTCAGCTGCAAAGTGCAGCTGTGAAGTAAAATATCACGAACAATTTTATTTTTTTAGCAATTTTTAAACATACAATCTATACGCGCATTGCATTACTTTTGTACGATTGAATTATAAAAAATATCTCTATAAAAAATATATGAATAATATACATGTGGGAACTTTATAGATTATTTCACTACATCACATTCCTGCGTTCCAGATGATGATAGGCAGCGTCGTTTAAAGATCTTAGAGCCCGTTAGCTCGAAGTTATATCCGGCTAATGCAAGGAGTCCGAGCAAACCAATTTATTTTCATTGAACGTCGGATCAAGCCGTACGATCGGCGAACGCTGCAATTACCGCAGCCTCAGTTACACGCAAGAGTGATCCTATGCCTCTCCATGATTTTCTAATGTCTAATATATCGTGTAAAATGGTAACAATATTACTACAATTACAAGACTGTCCTGAAACACTTTTATCGGGAAGAGCGTAATCGTTTTGATGCATTTCTTTATTTTTTCTCTCTTTCTAGAATGCAAGATCGGCCCAAAGAACGCACAAGAAATATTTCATTGTTCTTGTCAGTAAATTACAAGCGTTTAAGAGAAAGAAGAGTCACGCCCAATCGTACACTTGTCAAATCGTATTTTTTATAATTATCACGAAAGGTTTATACACATACAATCACGTGTAATAAATTAATTATACTAGTTGTTTTAGATTTGATTTATTTTCAATATCTTTACTAATTTTTATAGTGTCATAAAAATTTAAAGTTTATATCAGCATTTTATTCTGTCCATTTACTAAAGTATTTGTCGAAGTTGAAGGCCAAAGAGCAACGGATGAATGCGAAAGGTAAGGAGCGGCATAATTGCCGCTATCAGACGATCGTGATTTGGCTTCTCCCGATGAGCCTAGTTAGCCGTATGGACAACCGTTATAGTGAAATTACACGATCCACGAATCTGTTTTTATTTCACGTTAGATCTACGCTCGAAAATGCGACGAGGTGCGATGATTACTTCCTTTGATTTCAAGTATAAAAATGATCTCACTTTATTTCTCGCGGTCTCTCTAATGCTGCGAAAGAACAGCATTAAGCATTCGCATCGTTCCATCGGTACTTGCCCCTCGGGCAAACATATGAACGATGCAATCTGCGTGCTGCATAATTGGAACTGCTGCGTCCGGCGGGACGCATAAAACCCGGCGGGTGTTAATATGGAAATGATTACTCCGCATCTAACAATCTTCTGTACTTAATTTGCGTAGCACGAGAATCAAGTATTGCAGATTGTCTATTAATAACAATCTTTGATAAATATGAGAGATTCACGATATAATTCGCTAATCGATATTATCGATTTTCTATTGATTTTTTACTGATCCATTTTTTTGTCATATAATTTTAAATCAATTAAAGTAAAATGAAGATCTTTTCTAATAATTTTTACGACAATTTTATGAACTGTATGTTGATTCAATAACATAATTTATGTCACTCGAACTTTTATTTCTTGCTCGTTTAAGCCGGTTATCGAGAATTTTTATTATTACTATCAAGTAGCCACACTCAATTAACGTCAGATGATCAAAATCATCATTTTCTGTGCAACAGCACATTCAGTAATCTCGGTAAGGGCGCATGATGGTATGTGAAACTAGTTTCTTGCATGCATTAATCACAGTGCGCATTTTTTTGTGCAAGAACCAGCACCGTCGGGCGTCCACGCAATTTCATCCGTGTTGAGATTATCGTTCTTCCCTGTTTCTCGATTTTATCCCCAGGCTAATATCCACTCTTAAAAGCGTGAAAAAAGAGATACTATAACTCATATTGCTTTAGATTTAATTTTTATCCGTTTTATGATCTTTCAAGTAATTGAGGACGTTTATTTCCTTGATAAGTGACTACGTTGATAACAAATGAGACGTACTCAACAATACAACAGTAATGAAAAGTACCGTAATTGTAAAACTTTTCGGAGATTTATCTGTACAATAGTTTGCCAAAAATAAAATTTCGAAAATCTGATATTATGCTCGATCCGCTTCGCAAAGCACAATTCACAAAATATTTTTGCCCAAAATAAAGTTACAACGCTTTTAATTGCACGAATAGATTGCTGAATGCTAAGTATATAAGATTTCTGTAGAATATTATTTCTTTTCAGTTTGGAGACTCACATTTTGCAGCTCCGCGTCGAGAAATTCTAGTCCTGGAATACCGCTTGTCGTGCCGGTTGGACCGCTACTAACAAATTTTTCAGTGGTTGTCACCTTCGAACGAGTTGGAGACATCGGCCTGGACAATAAATTTGAATGTAAATAATTTTTCATATATATTATAGAATATTATTGAACACAAAACAAAATTATTTCGCATTATCATGACTTGAAGACTTTCGTTTCCTCACCTGCCCTCGGATATCACCCTGGTGGAATTGGCAGGCACCCGATATTCGATAACTTGGGGTGAGTGCGTTCTGTCTCGACTAGGAGTGGCACTTCTCGAGACGCTTGTCTGCAGGTCCTCGAGAAGTGCGTCTGAAAGAGCCAAATGAACCAATTTAACACGTTGTCCACGCTATTTCAACGATCATGCCATTTTGAAGAATGGGGTCGAGAAAGCGAATCCAAGTATAGGATGTTTCAAAATTTACATGCGCCCTTTTAATGACAAATTTTCAGAACAATTTAGAGAATCGAATTTTCTCACAGCAAAAATATCAAGTTACAAGTCCGAATTACAAGCGATTAAAAAACTAAATTTTAAAGAAACAAATCAAATTAAAACAA